ATGACAGAAGCTCTGTCGAAACATGTCTTGCAAACTTAAAAAATTGGTCGTTTTCCTTAAAATCTTTACATGTCTGCTGCTATCTAGACCTTTTGGAAAGTCAATTTTATTTGAATGGTGGTGGACTAGGTCAACTCGGAAATGGGCTATTTAATAGCATTATGAACAAGCCCTTCTTAAACGTTGTACCTGGTGAAGTAGAACGCTGTAGTTTTCCGCATCAGATATATCAGTTGAGAAGTTGGAAACTGTTCGAACATGGCCCGCCTCCTTAAGGTGGTAGTTGAACCAGCGAAGCAGGATGGCTTCTGGAGGAAGGCGGAGGAGTTCTTCAATAGTTTCGTCATCCTCAACCAAGCGAACAAGTCCAGGACACCTCTGTATGGTCAACTGAGCGAACAATCCTATCTGTGAGCAAAATAAAGCAAGCCTATGGTTAAAACCAAACCCTAATTTTTTTAACCCCCCACGTTTGAAAGCTTTACATGTTTACCCTAAGCTCGATATCCGCCGCTCTCTCGAGTCCGGTCGAGGGCTCCTTTCCCGTACAGCGGCTAGTAGTCGAGCCTATGTTTACCCACGCTTCCCATTGGTATCGTAGGAGTTGGCACTGGCTGCATGTTTTACCGCGCTTGGCGCTGGCTACATGTTTACCCGCGCTTGGTGCTGGTTACATGTTTTTCCACGCTTGGCGCTGGCTACATGTTTTCCCACGCTTGGCACTGGTTACATGTTTTCCCACGCTTAGCACTGACTACATGTTTTCCCACGCTTGGCACTGTACTGGTCGCATGTTTTCCCGCGCTTGGAACTGGTTACATGTTTCCCGCGCTTGGCACTGGTTACATGTTTTCCCGCGCTTGGCACTGGTTGCATGTTTCCCCGCGCTTGGAACCGGTTTAATGTTTTCCCGCGCTTGGCACTGGCTACATGTTTTCCCGCACTTGGCACTGGTTACATGTTTTCCCGCGCTTGGCACTGGCTACATGTTTTCTCGCGCTTGGCACTGGCCAGATCAGTTTCTCGTTAATTTGTTCGCATGATACATGCTCATGCCCTTACACCGGTAACATTATTTTTTTTCCAGCATTTCATAGTTTTTCCACTTTATCAGATTACACGTTTTCCCGAGTTTGCCATCAAGGAGCTGAACACCAGAAGGGCGAAAACTTGGCCTTTTCCCGTGATCATTCCTTCTTGTTTCGATTCTACTATTCAAGACCAACATCGTCATGCATATCTTAGTCTGATATGGTATAGTTCGTGCCAAAATATTACTATTTTTCAACTTAGTTTTGCCATTTGTTTCCTAATAATTATGGTGATACAACGAACATAAGCTTATTTGGATATTTTTTATCCTCTCTGTAATGAAACTACCAGAAGGTACTGGGTTTTAAAAAAATAACACTTCTCTAAACTCTACCATACCCGAATAATTTGCCACAGTAAACCGAGCACCAGATGAGGTTTTCCTTCAATCAAATCCTGCGCACCAATGTTGACAATGTTACAGCCGATAGCCATGGCGGAGTTCAACACAAGCGTTTGATTTTCGTGAATATTGTACACATTCAACTTGGTCTTGTTGATGGCTCGTTCATCCACTGTGCCGGGGCAAGCCCAGTTTATTAGCTTGCACATCACAATGCCATCTTTCATGGCTTTGAAGAGAGCATCTTTTTCCTCTTCCTTAATTGGAAGGTACTTTCCTGCGAAAATCACGTAAAATAAAATTGAAAATTGAAAATAAATACATGTATCAGTTTTAAAGTTCTGATCAAATTCGATCAACACTGTCGCCGATGTGCCAGTGTATATGGGATAGCTGAAGTTTTCAGCCAGTTACTCTAGGCGCTATAGACCTTTTCACGGTTTCTGACGCCATGTTACTTGCGGGGCAAACACGGTATAAAATTGTAGTAAATGTATGGGAAAAATTAAAAGTGTGATGCCCAATAAGTTGAGGTTCTGAGTATTTAATGAGTTACAAGGAAAGATACTCAGCAGATTGTTTCTTCTTCCAAGTTTGAAGAACGTAGATTTGCTGTCAGGCATACAGCTGTGACTCGGTTTTACAGACAAGTAAATACTTCAGAACTCGAATTTCCCACGGTGAGTTGCTAGACATTACATTCTTTATTTTCCCCAGACATTTACTGTGATTTTTGCTGTTTTTGCCCGCCGCAAAGCAAGGTGGCGTCAGAAGCCGTGAAAAGGTCTATGGCAGAGCGGGATTTTACTATCACAGACCTCACAGATCAAGGCATGGAGATGATGGCCTGGATCCGGCCCCTGGCAACAAAATAATCCGTTTTTTTTAAATTTTTTTATCGCTTCGCTTTCTTTTACTGGGTTCCCACCTTTTATTTAAGTCTAAAAACTATCAGAGAGATATCTAAGCTTATTTTTTCTGAAGCCCCAATCTCGGCTAAAGTTTTTCCAGCCCCTGCTAATTTCTTTAAATCAAGCATCACAAAAAAATAAAATTAGAGTAGTTTTTAACTTAATCTGGTCTGAATTAGACAAATGTCACTTGGACGACGGTTAACCTCCAAAAATAAGCCACAGGAAAGTTTTCGTGCCATTGCGACCTCACTTGTCAATTGTCCGCAATGAAATGGCTTCTCAATTCGGTGACTTTGTTTCGCCATCTTGGACAGTCGCCGTGAAAAACTTCGATGTTTTTTCACCCTTTTTTTGTTATTTATAAGCACTGATTAATATATTAAAACCGATCCTCTTCTCATTTCATTGAAAATTCGGTGAGTTTAATCCTAAGTTAGTTAAGATTTGATAATCTGGTCGAGTTATACTCAAGCTTGAAGGTGACTTTGTATTGACCAAAAATTTACTTCACTTCACAAGTTTGTCTTTTTCTAGGTTTTCCCTACGCTTACTGACTTAGTACCTTTTAACTCAGGATCATCTTCCAAAACGGAGTTTATCCAGTCACTAAAGCCAATTTGCTCGTCATCAGAAAACGAATGTCTTGTTCCTTCAGCCGAAGCCGTCGACGAGCCACCAACCTCTTGTACACCTTTCCGACTGTCAACGGCCTGCCTGTAAATGCCACCAGTTGCTTTGGAAGATATCTTGGAAAACAATCTTGTGAACTCGTCGAAGCTTATCACTCCACCCTTTTCCGCTTGCGTGTCTTCGATAATCTTTCTCAGTTGGTAGCCGGCTACATTTTCGCCACAGTCTTTCATTACTTTTCCAAAGTCTTCGCATTTTAGCGAATTTCCTTCGGCGTACTTGTCGAAGTTTTCTTTTAATTCTGCCATACGGTTACTTGAAAACATGGGCGTGAGTGCCGCCATAGTGAAAAAGACTGCAACCTCTGTAAGTATCAAGACTTTTTTCAATACAAAGGTGATCTTTTTGCAAAGTGACCAAACTGATGTTGACTGGCCGACTATGACGTCACAATCATGTCGTCACATAAAACCTCCGTGTCTTAGCGCTGACCAAAAGACACGTGGGCTCTGGTAACGAGAAACCAGAAACTGCAAGGGACTCAAGGGACCGCATACGATAAACGCTGCCAACGTAGGATCAACACGAGATTGGTAACAAGATTGATTTAACAAATTGACGTCAGTTTTTTATGCGTCTGTCCTCTTATTGATGATAAATTGCGGCATAACATTGTCAAAGTGGCTGTGGAACGTAGTAAACTTTGACAATGTTATGACGAAATTTATCATCAATAAGAGGACAGACGCATAAAAAACTGATGTCAATTTGTTTTTTACAATAACAAGATCCCAAAATGGTCAAATGCCGGGAATAACTGAGGGAAAAGACACGTAAACTTACCGTAAACAAAGATAAGTGGATCTTATTCAAAATGACGTGAACATTGTCAATAGCTTTTCTCGCTTTTTGATTGGCTACTTGAAAAAGTCCATAAAATCTCATTGGTTAAAAAGTTGACAGT